TATTAGCAAACCCTGAGGAGGATGTGCTACTTAACCATTAAAGAAATGGCAAACATCTCTGAGGATGTCATCATTGTCACTAGCAGGTTTGTGACCTTTTTATTTTCCTCTACCCCAATTTACTCAGTACACTGGTTCCCACAAATGAGGTCAAGACCTTATTATAGTTGATGAAATACTACATTGGAGCTCTGCAGAGATTAAAGTAACCTTAAAATGATTATCCTTGGAATATTTAACCTTAATTATTACAAGATTAAAAGTAGTCATAAAGTGATCTAATTTGTGTTTTATTAGCAAGGATCAAGTTTAACCAGCATTAGATCTGACTAACTGATTTATTTTTGTTTAAATGTCAAATTTAAAGTTGGACCTTATTATTATTATTTTTTTTAAGCTTGACCAAAGACATGACTGGGAAGGAAGATGTATACAGAGGACCTGCCATCAGAGCCCTTTGCAGGATTACAGATGTATGGAAAGCTTAGTTTACACACACACACACACCCCTCTTCTTATCTTCTGATCCCATACAAGAGGTCTCTTTTAATAAACTAAACCATCTTTATGGATTTCCCCCAGACCACCATGCTGCAGGCCATTGAGAGGTACATGAAGCAGGCTATAGTTGACAAGGTGCCCAGTGTGTCGAGTTCAGCTCTGGTCTCCTCACTGGTATGAAATGGCAACTGTTTTCTATTCCAGTCAAAAGTGCATTCAAACTCTTAAATATTAGATTTTGTTGTTGTAACTGGTCAGTTATTAACGTACGTCTCTGCCATCAGCACATGGTGAAGATGAGCTATGACGTGGTGAAGCGCTGGGTGAACGAGGCCCAAGAAGCTGCCTCTAGTGACAACATCATGGTCCAGGTGGGAAAACATGAGGCTTGAGGGGATTTTGTTGTTATTTTTTCTTTTTTCATTTAGCATCATAGTTGTGCTGGTTTTGTGCTCTAGTACCACGCCCTCGGCCTGCTGTATCATCTCAGAAAGAATGATCGTCTTGCTGTGACTAAGATGCTCAACAAGTTCACCAAATCTGGTCTCAAGTCTCCCTTTGCCTACTGCATGCTGATCCGTATCGCCAGCAAACTGTTGGATGAGACAGAAGGGGGGTGAGTAAACCCGTTCCCTCTAGGACAAATCTGAGGATTCCCTCCTCCTAATAAATAAACAAGTCTGTCTGTTATTTTTGCCCACAGTCATGACAGTCCCTTGTTCGACTTCATCGAAAGCTGCTTGAGGAACAAGAATGAGATGGTGGTTTATGAAGCAGCTTCTGCCATTGTCCACATGCCCAACTGTACTGCCAGGGAGCTGGCTCCAGCTGTGTCAGGTAGAACTTGCTCCACATTGGTAACTTGCATCACATTTCCTGATGCTTTAGTGCTTACCATTACTGTGAATGTTTCTCTTGCAGTCCTGCAGCTCTTCTGCAGTTCCCCTAAAGCAGCGCTGAGGTACGCCGCTGTCAGGACCCTCAACAAGGTACAGCTTCCCTCTCTATCTGTACTCAGCTGCAGATGCTGTACTGTTGTTCAAATACATATTTATTGTGTTCATCAGGTGGCTATGAAACATCCATCAGCTGTGACGGCATGTAACCTGGACCTGGAGAACTTGATCACTGATTCCAATCGCAGCATCGCAACTCTGGCCATCACCACTCTGCTCAAGACCGGCAGCGAGAGCAGCGTGGACCGCCTGATGAAACAAATCTCCTCCTTTGTGTCTGAGATTTCTGATGAGTTCAAGGTGAGACTGTGTTAATGTTGAGTTTACAAACTAGAGTGTGAGAATAGGTCAGACGATTAATGCGGTTCTCTTCTAATTCTGCTGCTTGTTTTGTGTTCTGAAATCTGTTGGGCGTTTCTTCCAGGTGGTGGTGGTCCAGGCCATCAGCGCTCTGTGTCAGAAGTATCCCAGGAAGCACAGCGTCATGATGAACTTCTTATCCAACATGCTCAGAGATGACGTGAGTTTGTTATTACTGGATTTTTTACTCTGAGGGGAAGCGAACACACCAGTGCAGGTCTGTTTCTGTTGCAGGGCGGGTTTGAGTACAAACGAGCCATCGTGGACTGCATCATCAGCATCATTGAGGAGAACCCCGAGAGCAAGGAGACCGGCCTGGCCCACCTGTGTGAGTTTATAGAGGACTGTGAGCACACCGTTTTGGCTACGAAGATCTTGCACCTGCTGGGAAAAGAGGGTCCTCGCACCCCACAACCTTCTAAATACATCCGCTTTATATTCAACCGAGTGGTGCTGGAGAGCGAGGCGGTTCGTGCAGGTGAGGAAAAAATATCTGTTTTACTTGAGTGACTTACTTTTTTTTTTCTTCAACAGCTAAATTTTTTGTCTTCCGCTTTCAGCTGCTGTCAGCGCTTTGGCTAAATTTGGAGCTCAGAATGACGACCTTTTGCCAAGTGTCCTGGTTCTCATGCAGAGGTGTTTATTTATTTTGTTGTGCTCCGTGGTGAAGTCTCATGCATGTCTCCTAGGGAAGATGTAAATGTTGGACCTAATGCTCCCTTTTTTTGCTTTGAACACCTGTATCTGTCCTCGCAGGTGTATGATGGACAGTGATGACGAGGTGCGAGACAGAGCTACTTTCTACATGAACGTGCTCCAGCAGAAGCAGAAAGCTCTGAACGCTGCTTACATCTTCAACGGTAAACACACACCAGCTTTATTTGTTGTTAGTCGGACGGACGATTCGAGTCAGCCGTTTGTTTCTGTGGACGTCAGGACTGTCTGTGTCCATCCCCGGGTTGGAGAAGTCCCTCCACCAGTACACCCTGGAGCCCTCAGAGAAACCTTTTGACATGAAGTCTGTACCTCTGGCCACCACTCCAATCACCGAGCAGAAAACAGGTACTAATATTTAATTTCTTACATGAATTAATTGTCAGCGATTATTTTAAAGGGACTGGATCAGGAACATTTTTTAATCTCTTCAGAAATTGCTCCAGTCGCTACCAGCAAACTGCCAGAGAAGTTGGCCCCATCACGCCAGGACATTTATCAGGGTAAGGGTGAACAGTCGGTCTAGATCAGGGGTATTCCTGGCCTGGAGGGCCGATACACACCACGTTTGAGTTTTCACTGTCTCAACACACCTGATTTGAATCAGCAGGTGGTTAACAGGCTCCTGCAGAGCCTGATGAGCTGCCGCACAGGCGATTCAACAACAGCATCAAGTGTGTTGGAGCAGAGGAACCACTAAAATGTGCTGGATATCAAAATTGAACACGACTGGTCTAGAGTGACTGTGTTTATTAAAACCTGCCTTTGCTTCATATCTCGTAGAACAACTCGCGTCCATCCCAGAGTTCCAGGGTCTCGGCCCGTTGTTCAAGTCATCCGAGCCGGTGCAGCTGACGGAGGCTGAGACGGAATACGTGGTGCGCTGTGTCAAACACACCTTCTCCAGACACATGGTGTTCCAGTTCGACTGCACGAACACGCTGAACGACCAGCTGCTACAAAAGGTTTAATGCAGCTTGGATTTTAGTTCTCTGGACTTGGGGGGTCTTTTCTAACATTCTGGGCTGATGTGCTGTAGGTAATAGTACAGATGGAGCCTTCAGAAGCGTATGAGGTGATACACTACATTCCTGCTGCCACCCTTCCCTACAGTCAGCCCGGTTCTTGCTACACTTTAGTCCGACTGCCTGATGATGACCCCACTGCTGGTAATAAAATTGGGACAGTAATTTAAAAAAGCTGCTTGTTTTACAGGTTCAAAGGTATTTTTTTCTGTTTGCAGTGTCGTGTACATTTAGCTGCACTATGAAGTACCTTGTGAGAGACTGTGACCCCAACACAGGAGAACCGGACGATGACGGTTACGATGATGAATATGTGGTACGTAGCAACGACGCATCCAGAGTTCCACATGAATGTTAACCTGTACATTCACGCTCCTCTCCCTCTCTGTCCTGCTCCAGCTGGAGGACCTGGAGGTGACCGTTGCAGACCACATCCAGAAAGTTTTAAAACCAAACTTTGGAGCAGCGTGGGAAGAAGTGGGAGATGAGTTTGAAAAAGAAGAGACTTTTGCCCTGGCGTCTGTGCGAACACTAGATGGTAATCACTGAGGGTTATACTGGAAACCAAAAGGTGAACGACGTGTTTTGTTTTAAACTTTGGATGCTTTTCTGTTGCAGAGGCGGTGGGTAACATCATCAGCTTCCTGGGGATGCAGCCGTGTGAACGCTCTGACAAAGTTCCTGAAAACAAGAACTCTCACGTCCTGTTTCTTGCTGGTGAGAACTTTTATCTAAAGTGACAGCAGAATGAAGTTAGGATTATTATAAAGCAGGCTGTTGAGCTCCTGACCTGTAAAGTATTTTTTTTGATTAGTTATGTAACTGACTTGTTTCACAGAACTTCCTTCACAACAAGAGCCTCAAACGTAGACTTTTACCCTCAACCCCCCAGTTCTTGTAAAAGTGTGTTTCACCAAGCTTTTATACGCTTGAGAGGTTTTGAGAACTTCTATGTTTGGGACTTTTATTGTGAAGGGATGAAGAAAGTTCAGCTGTGGGTGTCACAAAACAATTTTTGCCCCCTTGAAAGATGAGACCATTTTTTTCTGTAAAATCTTTTTCAGCTGTGTTGTATTTTTTCAAATTGCTACAGTTAGATTGTATAAATCTGGTTACCTAAACTGACCTGCCACCACCTCTGTTCAGGTGTGTTCCGAGGCGGCCATGACGTGCTGGTTCGTGCTCGCCTGGCGCTGGCTGACGGCGTCACCATGCAGGTGACGGTTCGCAGCAGCGAGGAGAACGTTGTGGATGTGATCCTGGCTTCTGTGGGCTAAAAAGAGCTCGGCGCCACTGCAATCTTAACTTCCCCACAGATCTAAACGTTGTGCTGACCAACTCTAAATGCTTAAGTTTAATCTAAAACATGTGACCTTGCTGTTATTTCACCTGCAATATATGAAGAATTCTGCATTAAACTGTAAAAGTACATTTTTGCTTCAGGTTGATTTTTTTTAACAAAACTAATTTTTATTTACAGAGTAGACATTAGTTACTGAACTGAAAGTTAAAAAAAATACATATCAAAGTCCTTAACAGATACATTCATTTGTTGCAAAACTTAAAACATTAAAGCAACTGAGATTCACAGGAGTCAAAGTATTTTTTCCACTGCAGGCCCTAAATCTGTCCAGCATGGTATTCTGTCAGAAAGAGTGGATGAAATTAAAATACGCCTTTAGGAAACTGGTGGGATCCTCCAGCTGAGGGTAGTGACTGATGTGGTCGTCCAGAACCGTGACGGTGGACCTCTTCACCAGATGCCTGCAAGAACAAACAATTAGAGAATGCGTGAATACTTCAGGTCACCAGGAAATAAAACAAGGAGACTCGTCTAAAACGATAAGACTGAATTAAGATAGAAAAGCAAATGTTTTTTTTTTTTGGTACCACTTTAGGGAACACATTAACCATTAATTAGCTGCCAATTAATATGCATTTTAGTGGACTACTAAGTCTGAATTAGTCATTAAGCACTTATTAACAGCGTATTACTAATGCTGTAATTCTAACATTAACAGGCCAGAAATGAAGAGCTTTATCAAAATAAGACATTCATAATGGTTCAACTGAAAGTAAATGGTTTGTTGCTGATTAATGCACATACTAATTAGCTCAAATCAATGTGGCTTTTAACAAAGTCAAGGGGAACATTTTTGCCTTTAAGTGGTTAATTAATACTAAACTACTTGTAATTAGGTATGAACAAAATCTGACTAGGATGGGGAACATTCTTGCTTGCAGGTGGTTAATTGATTGTTGTTAAGGCTCTATTAACGTGGAGTTTGGTGTTTATTTACATAATACCAGAACATAATATTTTTGGTTCTTAATGCAGAATAGCTATTCCCCTTCAATTATGTGCTGCCATCAGCAATCATGGGGTTGTCCGTCATCATGCCAACCTGGGGCCTACAAAACTCAGCAGCTCCTCCTCTTCTTCAATCACATGCAAGATGCTCGGGTTGGGGCAGCAGGAGGAGCATCTTATCTATGTTGTTGTTTGGGACATGTGAGTTTTCACAGAGCTCTCCAGGATAGAATGGTTCAATATGAACTAAGATGTTAATATTTGCCGCAGTCTTCCTCCGCTTATCCGGGTCGTGGGGGCAGCATCCCAACTAGGGAGCTCCAGACCGTCCTCTCCCCGGCCACCTCCACCAGCTCCTCCGACAGGACCCCAAGGCGTTCCCGGACCAGATTGGAGATGTAACCTCTCCAACGTGTCCTGGGTCGACCCCGGGGCTTCCTGCCGGCAGGACATGCCCGAAACACCTCCCCAGAGAGGCGTCCTGGAGGCATCCTGACCAGATGCCCAAGCCACCTCAACTGACTCCTTTCAATCCGGAGGAGCAGCGGTTCTACTCGGAGTCCCTCCCGAATGTCCGAGCTCCTCACCCTATCTCTAAGGCTGAGCCCGGCCACCCTACGGAGGAAACTCATTTCGGCCGCTTGTATCCGCGATCTCGTTCTTTCGGTCATCACCCAAAGCTCATGACCATAGGTGAGGATTGGGACGTAGATCGACCGGTAAATCGAGAGCCTGGCTTTCTGGCTCAGCTCCCTCTTCACCATGACAGATCGGCTCAGCGTCCGCATCACTGCAGACGCCGAACCAATCTGCCTGTCGATCTCCCGATCCCTCCTACCCTCACTCGTGAACAAGACCCCGAGAAACTTAAACTCCTCCACTTGAGGTAAGACCTCTCTCCCGACCCGGCGTTGGCAACTATATCAATATGTCATCTATATCAATATTTGCCTCCCACCATACTCCCCTTTCCTAAACCCCATTGAGGAATTCCTCTCCTCGTGGTGGTGGAAGGTATATGAACGCCAGCCTTACACCAGGGCAAATCTGCAAGCGATGGAACTTGCCTGTGGTGACATAGGTGTGGAGGCATGCCAGGGTTTTTGTCCCCCGTTACCTGGCCAGAGAAAATGTGGCCTGTGATGTGGATGAAGTTCTGTGGCCTGACCCAGTACGGCGACATGAAGCTGTGGCTGAGTAATACACTTATGTGGTATTTGTATATTTTTGTTATTCATTTGTACATGGGCTTACTGTACACAAGCGGCAAACGCATAAGATTTCTGTTTGTTTTTACAAGTGTGATACGTAAATGCTCAAGATTTCTGTTTTGTCTTTTCGTACAAGTGCTGAATGTTTTATTTTTGTTATGTAACATTCATTTTGCTTTAAAGCGAACAATAAACAATTATTTCTCCAGCTTCATGTCCCGAGCATTGCATTTTTCTACATATTGTTTAGTGACTGTTCAGTCGTGTTCTAATTTTGATTGACTTGATTGAGTTTTGAGCACAGATTGAACTGTTTTGAGGTGAAAGTGTGGTTTTGCAAGAAGATTGAGGTTTTGTGGATTTAGCTTGAAAATTGAGTTTTGTGTTCACAGTTTAGAGAAAAGAAGAGCACCTTTCAATAAATGTGTCTTAGCAGTTGAGAAAAACTACAATAAACAAATGACATCATAGCTACTTGCTTCTTTAGTAGACTTAAGTCCCGCTCATCTACTTCTGGACTAGGGCTGGGCGATATGGCCTAAAATCATTATCACGATATATTGAGGATTTCACCTCAATAATGGACGATAACTACAGGTATATGCAGAAACAAAAGTTGTCCACTAGATGGCGCTGTCGCATGTATTATGTTACGTGACTCAAGGTGGTACAGCTTCTTAAAGGGACATGAACGCAGCCAACCTACACACCTTTTCATTTTTTATCATCAAATTTATTGACACGGGAAAATTTATCACGATAAGAGTAAAAAATATTGATAATGATAATGATAAATTTTCTATTTATTGCCCAGCCCTATTCTGGACCATGAGTCCTCGGAAGAACCACAACATGAAAGCAGGCCAACGGAGCTAAAAACACGATTTTCTAATCCAGTTTGTTTTGTGCCATGGATTTCACATACAATGTCCGTGAATTTTAAAGACATTCTGATGCCAACAGCGCGCTTATTTTTAAATGGGGAAAAGGTTATTTTAGGTTTTGTGTGAAAATACGTCCAGGACTAAAAACGCGCATCTCCAAATTGAGGTAATTGAACCAGACACGGAGAGAAGCAGAGGAAAAACGGCTGTAAGTTCAACAAACTTTGAATCCTTCATCCAGGAGGAAAGAACCACCAGAAATCTGACCATGTGGTAAGTAGCAGCTATGCTGGGGGAGAGGAGATACTATGGTGACATCATATTTACGACATGCTGACATTTGATTTGTAGTCATGGGAATTAAAATTTTTTTACAAGATGATAGATCCAAGTACATGACAAGTGTGGTCGAAACACAGATCGTTACTTTTCATTTAAACTGAAGTGCTACACATGTGTCATTAAGGGCGTACGGCAAAGCAGATTAGAAAATAGCTCCCATTGACTTGCATTCAGATTTTTTTCAGCCGGGGACCCATGAGCCGACCACTTAGGCTCCTTATTAGTGGCCTTCACTATCCACGTTTAGCTCTGCCTGCATGAGGCTTAAGATCTAGAGTAAGGGCCAACTTACAGGTACAGACGGATGAACTGGGGATGGGGGTTGACAGGGTCCAGGGGTCCGTAGATCACGTGCACTGAAACACAGAGGGGGGTGGGGGGTGGAATGAGGCTTCATCTTGAATGCTGATCACAGATGGGCTGCAAGTCTGCTCCTCAAAGGCTAAGCTGCTTAGCATTTTTCCTAATACACCTGCAGGAACTTTGCTTAAATTATTAACACACACACACGTGCACACACACACGCGCGCACGGCCCCTGTTGAACTTACATGGAATGAACGTGGAAGTGAGTGCTCCCACCCATCGATCTCTGTGAGTGAACCTCTGGTTGATGTACTGGAGAATACTGAGAAGACAAACAAATAAAACAAACCGACAGGAACACGTGTACAAATTCCAAGTGTGAACGCCAACACACTCACCTGTCCACAACCAAGTTTCCATCATTGTATCGAAAACCTGTCCACATGTCCCAGAATTCAGCATCCGTGGGTTGTGTGTAGGGACCGAACAATTCTCCTATCCTACCAAACAGAAAGCTACGAATCAAAAAAATATATCTTTAAAACCTTTTAAGACAATAATCAGGTCTTCTCACCCCTTTTGGAAGGTGTAAAAGTTGGCGAGGCGTGTCAGAACCAGTGCCAAAATGCTCGAGTCCTTCACAAGCTTTTGGGGACCAAATTAAAATGTGTCACAGCTAAAACTTCAGTTCTCTTCTAATAATGTCATACAAGCTGGGAAGGAAGGAAAACAATAGGATGACTCACTATCTGCAGCAATCGTGGGTGGTGTGTTTCTGGGAATATTCCTGTTGGACGGTAAAATAAATTAATGATCCTTCAAATCAGTAGTGTACAATCCTGGTCCTCAAGGTCCCCTATTCAGCATGTTAAGTTGTTTCTGAGCTCGAACAAACCAGATCAGTGGCCGAGTCACCTGTTCAGCAGGTCATCAAACTCTGCAGAAGCCTACTGATCACCTGATGATTGAAATCAGGTGTGCTGAAGCAAAGAAACCCCGAAGCATGCCGGCTAGGGGCTCTTGAGAACCAGGGTTGGACGAAGCTTTAAACCTGCTGATCTGTAATCAATTCACAAATATTTATTGCACAGAATTCCTCATTAAAAACAGCAGCTACCCACAACAAAACCTATGAAAAGGCCATACCTCCATTAGAAAGACAGATGCTGTTTAAGATCAGGTGTCCTGTGCGATTCTGGTCACTCCTAGTTCAGAATGCAAATATATAAAACAAGCAGCGATAAGGATATTGAATCGTTTAATCCTTGCCTTGACATTCTGTGTAGAAAATGATAATTACCTGTAGAGCAGCTCTAGGGCAACAGTGTCTCCATAATCGTGGGATATCAGGTTGACACGCTGATTGCTCAGACCCAGATGGGTCACCAGAGCCTCCACCACACTGGCTTGCTCAAAGATGGAGTACTTGTGGGGTGCCTGGGAAGTTACAAGGTCCTCGTTACAGAATCTGTGCACAAACATTTGGAAACACGCAGAGGCATTTTACTCTCACCGGCTTGTCACTGAAGCCAAAACCCAAGAAGTCCAGCGCAATGACTCGATGGAAGCGTTGTGTGAGCGGATCCCAAATCTGCATGAAGAGAAAAAAAGTTAACGTTTGTGCAGAATTTTATTTTAAATGAAAGTGTGCAGCAGGTACCTTGTTCCAGTCATAGCTGGAGGTGGGGAAGCCATGAAGCAGGATGACAACATCTGAGCTCCCCAAAGCACCATAAGAATCTAGAAGAAGTCATTATGCATGTTTGAGATGCAACACAACAGTGAAATGATACTCTTCATAAATCTACCTCTGTAGAAGACCTTCCTGCCTCTGAAGAGGAAGACCTCCCCGGAACTGTGCCATTTCTGCAGGGCAGGTGAGAGCTGAGGGGGAGGTATGTGCAGGTAGACGGCCACCAGTGGGATGCAGATCAAACTCACATGGATCCACCATTCTCTCATCTTGAGCTCATCGGTGGGGGAGTCTCATTCCTGTCTCTGAGAGAGAAAAGTCACCAAAAACACACCAAATGACAGAAGCTAGCGGTCAGTTACTGGACAACCTGTGGCCACGTAAAGAAAAAGATCGAAGAGTTGAATAAGTCAAAACAACCGAACGATAGCTGGGAGGTTAGCTAAAACTTAAGCTACTGTGACGAATCGATAAACTTACAGAACCGCTGCCTCCTAGCAACACGTTCGCCCTGAGTTGTGGGAGCAATGGAGGAAATTCCTGTGGAACGTAAAGGTGCCGCTGTTTAGAGTGAAAAAAATAGAGAAGTCCCACTCTATTAGGATTTAACGTGGAAATGGCAGCATAGATATCTGTAGGTTACAGACGAGTCAATCATTACCGAGTTCCTCATCTTTATAATACACGATCTATGAGGATTGGCGCAGAGGGTAAAGGAGACGTTTACTGCCACCTGCTGGCTAGGAGATGAAAAGGTTTTGTGGAATAAATGTGGAATGGATTTCTCCCCCCGAATTATATAAATAAAAGGAATATATATATATATATATATATATATATATATATATATATATATATATATATATATATATATATATATTTCAATTTGCATATATATACTATGAAGTAAAGTACCGTGTGCAGATAGATAGCAGTGTATGTCTAGTCTCTGATCTCTCTCTCTCTCTCTCTCTCTCTCTATATATATATATATATTTATAATACAATGAAGTAAAGTACCATGTGCAGATATAGTGTATGTCTAGTCTCTGATCTCTCTCTCTCTCTCTCTCTCTCTCTCTCTCTCTCTCTCTCTCTCTCTCTCTCTTTATATATATATATATATATATATATATATATATATATAATACCATGAAGTAAAGTACCATGTGCAGATATAGTGTATGTCTAGTCTCTGATCTCTCTCTCTCTCTCTCTCTCTCTCTCTCTCTCTCTCTCTCTCTCTCTCTCTCTCTATATATATATATATATATATATATACATATAAACAGATATATATTTTATTTATTAGTTTTATTTTCCAATTTTCTAAATGTATTAGGCCTTAAGTGAATTTCCCATGTGGGATAAGTATCTATTCTGCTCCGTACACCACTGGGTTGAGTGAGACAGCCAGACAGGAACAGATGGTTAAAACCCCATTTATTCTTCTTTAAGTTGTTAAATAATTTTATTCAAAGTCTAAACCCTTGCAAATCATGTTTTCTATTAGCTTTTATACAGTTGTCAGCAAATCCACTACGTTTTTATTTATTTCCTATTTCTGACCTATTTTAATAATGGGAGGGGTTTATATCTTACCTGCAGCAGACGATTAACCTCAAAGTATCAGGGAGAATTTTCAGGCAAGCCAAGCAAACAGCTAAGCGCAGCGCCTAACAACCTTAAGCATCACCTGATGCAGCTATAAAATATTTTCATCACAAGCCTTTATTATAAACAAAGAATCTGTTTAAAAACTATAACATTAAATACTGCCTCAGTTAGGAAAATTTACTTTAATTTTCACGTCAAAACGTAGAATAAAAAATAAATAAACCAGAACAGCTTTTAATAAATGAAAAGCAAAGCCCTGCCATTAGGCTAAATACATTTTTTATTTTTAAAAACCATACACATTACTCAACAAGTTTCAAATGTAAATCCAATCACAATAACCATTAAAATGCTCAAGATAAACAGAGATGGTGTACTTTTATTTCCAAATGTTAAAAGATAAAAAATAACCCATAAAACAGATGGAAAAACATTCATTCCCATGACAGGAAGAAGCTACAGAACAAACTCCTCACATGGACTCCTTTCATCGCTTCAGTTTTCTCACTTTGCAGGCAATCCTAGCTGCTATTTTGCCAACTGTAAAACAAGGGAAACAAACTATTTACACAGAATAAATTGTGACTGAAGTGTTCCACGTCCTCCCACGGCCCTTCAGGTGAAGCCAGCCATTCAGCTGCAGGAAGAGTTTGCAGCATGCCGTCAGCGTTACTCTGTGTGGTTGGCAAGCACCATCCCATAAATTTAGCTGTTACTATACAAACCAAGAGGCCTGTTCTTTCACATCATTTACACCCTGAGATGAGTATTCCAGAACAAAAACACATTTTTAGTGGCCAAAACCCTCCCCGTGTAATGTTGGTGTCAAATTATCCACAACAGCTTTAGTGTGATGAAAGCTTTCATTTGTGTCGTCATAAAAAATACAAAGGTAGAATTTTTATTTCAATTTGTATCAAAATGTTTTTTTCTCCCAAGGAACACTATGAAGTAAAGTACCCTGTGCAGATAGATACCAGTGTATGTCTAGTCTCTGATCTCAAAATATGCACGTCCGATCTTTAGCGTTTCCAGTACATCAGGTTTCAAAAATATTTTACAAACAAACCAAATGCAGAAACATTTAGCAATAGTGTGAGGACTTAATTACAAGCTTGTGAGAAGAAAAAAGAAACACTACTTCCCCCTCTGGGTCTCCAGGAAAATAACTCAGGAGATACATTTTCCCTAAAGCTTAAAGATGTAATATGAAAATAACTCGCTTCCCCTTTTGCCCAAAACAATGTTTTGCTACCTAAACATACAAAGAAGATATTGAAGAGGTTCTTTTTTTTAAGAGTTCCTTTTGTTTTTGTGCCTGAGTAAATAAAATGACAGTATTGCACATTGGCAGGGGGTCTGATGGTTTGTGAGAGAAATAAGAAAACTTGAAATGACCAGGATCCATATTTTTCAAGCATCCAAAAGGGAAGGAAATACGTCCTACCTACCCCACCCAAAACATTCCAGATGAGCTTATTTGGTCCTGCTTTTAGCTGTAGAAACAAGTGCGCTTCATTTGTAAGGAGCTTCCTGAAGGTGGTTCATGATGGGACCAGTATCGTCTCAATTATTGTAGCCAAGGCACATTCATGTTTAGTGTGTGTATGATGAACATTTGACTGCAAAACTAAACCAATTCAGAGGCTGAGCAGCTCACAGCAGCACCAGTTCCAACTCAAGTGATATAAAAACTTTTTTTTTAGCTTTAAAATCAGAAGTTGTTTGTTTTGCTGCTTTAATCGGCCACTTCTGAGTGTAACTGATAACTACAAAAACACATTTTCACTTTGAGGTTCCACAAATCTAAAAGGAGAACCTCTTCTGGATGAAAGCAACAGTGGGAGGTTTCATAAAAAGGACCCCGTGTCTACTTGAGGTAAAAATTTGTTTCCTCCCCAACTTTCAGCTGGATTCTAAGTGAGATGCTTGCTAAGTACAGGCCCAGGTATTTTCTAAAGTCCCTTTTAAAAATAAACCTTTCAACATGTGGAAATTCTTGAACACATCGTAATGAATCAAAAGAGAATCTAGAAGTTCAGAAGGTTTTTTGTGCACATAACTATTGAACAAATGGAAGTAGTAATTATTTATAGCAATGTTAGTGGACAGAGGTCATTAATGTCTTTCCCGCTCTGTCTCCTGTGAAAACTCATCGTCCCTTGGACCTCTTTTCTATACAAGCCTTTGTGTTCATCAGTTTGGCTAGACGGTTCTATATTTATCTACAAATATATATATATATATATAACAAATAAAACTTGCAGGCAAAAATATTTAAGTTTCAATAGAAACACCCTTTTTTTTCCTGAAAATACAGCAGTATCTGAAATAGCTCACGCATTCATTTATATTCTGTCCCAGGTTTCTGCATTATACATCAGGAAGCTCTTTTGCCTACCAACAGAAAAAAAGTATCTACAAACTTTGTAAACAGACCTGCTTTTTTTTCTCCAAAAAACATAAATAACTCAAAATATTAACAGCCAATGGAGCAGAAATAAGTTTTGAATGAGCAAGGGCCAAAGAGCTAAATATACAACACCATTCAGATAAGAGAAGCTAAAAGGTTCTTTCATGTTCTTACAGACGGCCCTCGTGCACGGAGGACTTCCATCTCGATTCAAACAGCAATAATATTAGAGTACTGAAAACAGGTCACTTTCAATCTGAGTTTATAATCTCCCCTTTGTAACACAGAAAATGCAAATGTTACCAAGGAGGGAGGGGTGAAGACCGAGTCTTTGTGTTGCAGCAGGGTATTAATGAGAAAAACAAAAACCAAAGCATCCGCACCAAGCCGTACATTCCTCTGAATGTCTGCTGTTATTTCAGTCCAGCTCATGCTAAGCTCTTACAGGACTCTGCTCTCAGTCTAGCCCTTCGTCTCGTCTCTCCAAGTGTTCGTTTAGTCCGAGCGGAGCTCCTTGGTGGCAGGTAGAAAAGAGGTGCTGACAGGGAGAGCAGGGCTGGATCAAAGGGAGGTCTCCAGGCTGTGTAGCGGGCTCCCTGGGGCTGAAGGGGTTCCTGATTTGGGGCACTCTGGAAGGAGGTGGTTGCTGCTCTCCACAGCATTATTGTTCTGGTTTGGGGAGGGAGAGACCGGTGTGCTGGGGACAGCGGTGGTGATGGGTGAGGGCGACGGTGAGGGCGAGGGCGTGGGTGAAGGGGGAGTGGGCGTTGCGTTACGAGGGCTGGCAGAATTGCGCTTGGTGGGAGCGTCGTCCTCTGCATCTGTGTCATCTATGAGGGGAATCTGGGGCTCAGAGTCCTCTATCCGGAACTCGGGGTGGGTCATGAAGTTGTGAATTGATGATCTCGACTCGGGTTTCTCCAGCCCCTCATAGAGGGAGATGGAGCTGCGGAATGCTTTCACCACCCGGATCTGGAGGGAAGGAGGGAGACAGGATGCCGTTATTCACATTGGGTAATGACACACACTTCCAAGTTAGAACCCAGGTCGTGCCGCAGAGGCTTCATTAGTTCAATTCCAGGTAAGGTTTAGGGGCTTCAAAGCCAACAACCAGGAGGATATTCTCAAACACGTGCAAGTGAGCGTTTATTCTAGAACATCTTTAAGCCGTGAGACAAGTGATCTGGAGTTGGGACGTCCCTACCCATACGAACGGTTAGCGAACATATTAGCACAGAACTGATTTCTGTTTTCATTTTCTGTCTCTGGGACAAAGCCGAAACGAGTGGATGAAAACTATATCTACTTGTATAACAAACATTACCCCCTTTAAAGACCAGAAACTCAGTATCACTCAGGCAAAAAAAAAAAACAAGCTAAGGACCAAGCCGCTAGTTCAAATCACAAAATAGTTCAACGAAGAATTCTGAGCTACAGAAAAGTTGATTTGGGAGATTTAGAAGTAGTAACGACTCAGAAACTAGAATCTAACAGCAGAGAACGAACCGGTGGCAAATGTGGTCGTTTGTGGTTTTAAACACTTGCTAGAGGACTAATCAAACTACAAAATAGGATTAAGATGGAAGAGGACAGCAGTTCTCTAACCTAGCCGTAGAAAGGGGGCAGCAGCTGGACAAAAGTCTACCTTTGTAGGACATGCTAAGTAGAGAGCAAAGAGTGAGACAGCAGCAGAGATCAGGAAGACAGAAAGAGACAGGAGAAAGACAGAAAAGAAAAAGAGAGGAGGGGGGTGGGGGTCTGTTACAGCTCATGTTTGTGGAGGAGAAACAAAGATGCTGCAGCAGCCAAGCATGTCTACAAGCTCGTATACAAGTGGAAAACAGCACAGAGAGAAGAACTCACAAACAAGACCAGAGACTTAGAACCCATGCAGAGCGTGGTGCTACCTTTAGTTCAACAGTAGTAAACCTTTGAGTATAGCCCATGACACATTTCATACAACCTGAACAGGAGTGTGTGCATTTTCATCATTCTGTTTCCCTTCGGTTGTTAATTTAGCAACAGGATGCAACATGGACCCACACTGCCAACAAAAAACAGGTATTCCCATAAAGGAAGACATGTTTAAAGAGCCCCTGAGAGGAAACTGTTGGTTCAATAGGGAGGTAACCGTTGATCTGAGGGGGTCCACCTTAAAACAGAAACTCAAACATTATTCAGACAAGACACTTTGAAATATGCCAGAAAAAAAACAACCTTCTGTAAGCTATTAAAGAAATGAGTTATGTTTAAATATTCAAATGGGGAATCGTTGGTTCCATAAAGCTGCTTTTATTGCATCTGAGACATTTCTGATCTACTGCTGGTGAGGCGGTCACTCTGGTTGGGTCTGAAAAGGAAAAAGTAGTAAGAACAGACTCCTTATTCTTCTGAGGGTACATAAAGGGTGTGTGTGTGTGTGTTGGGGGGGTAGCAGCAGCAGCCCTTGGAAATGCCACAAATGATCCAGATCCACTTTCCACACTGAAGGCCTTGAAGCTTGAAAAAGGTTGGAGGAATTTGTGAAAGTCCATGAAAACCTGCATCTAAACATGGCAGCAAACTGTAACCCGGCAACAGCAGCTTGTTGTTGCCACTGGGCGCTGGTAGAGAGGTCCATCCAAAGACACAACATGCACATTTTGTTTGACAGTAAACTGCCACATTTGGAAAGAAAGAGGTCTTTATCTCACCATGGACACTTGTCCCGAGTAATCTGCATAGTTTAGGCCGTGATCATGGGCGTATACTCAAAACATTTACCCAACCAGGGACTAGAGAGCTGCGACAAAGACCCACGAGTGCTACAAAGGCACAGAGCAGACTGAGGCAGCTGCAGACAAACCTGGTAAACGTCAATACAGAATAAAATGTTTATCAGATAGAAAAACACACATCACCCCCACCCCTACAAAGTTTCCATTACTTAGACCGATGCAGAAGCAGAACAGAAAACACGACGACACAAATAAAACACCTCGACAACTGAAGCAACCTGGTTACAGGGGGACATTTATGTATAATACAGCAGTTATAAAAGCAGTATGGAAGATGTGGTTTTGGTGGTTTATTTTTAATTTTTTTTTTAAGAAAACAAGGGGGAGGGACATTAGGGGAGGCATGAGAGTGCAAAAGTTGAACATTAGGCGAGAAAAAGAGTGGAAGAGAAAGATGTTAGAGGAAGGAACAAAAAAAAAGTCTCATGCACTAAAGGAGAACACGCACTCACACCCCACAGTGGAAGAAGCGCTGTTGGCAGCAGTGGCAGTAGTGGTAGTAGTAGTAAAGGCTACATGTGTAGGGCTAGAAACATTGGTTACATCGTGCTGTTGTTGGCTGGAGTTGGAGGCCTGCCGCCTTAGGGCCCCCTGAAAGGAAGTTCCACTCTGGAACGCACTCACTACATCCATCTGCAAAGAATCAGACAGCATGACAGGAGAGAAGCCCAGAGGAAATAAAACACAGCCAGAGGAGAGAGAAAAGAGAAAAAATAAATATAGAAAAGGCACCAGTAACCATAGAGAAAATGTCACTTTGAAATTGGACTAAGTCAAAAGAGAAGATGGAAAATGATGGGCTTCAAAGGCACTGATTGGAGGGAGGTCAGAACTCACCATACCACAACTCTGCTTCCCATCTAGTCTAATTCACTTGATTCTCACCCGTACCTTTAAGCTAATTGGTTTGAAGGCAAATAGATTCAGACCAAGTCAGGAAAAGGCATGAGAGCTGGCATTCGCTCAGAAGCAGAACAGAAAAGATAAAGAGAGCATAGATTTTTAGGGAACAAGCCATTCTTTAAGAATGCCAAAATGAGGAACAAAAGAGATTTGAAGCTGGAAGAACAGAGAGTTAAAGGGTTTATGGCTTTGAATTCCCTTGGTGGTGGTGGCGGGTTCGGGGGTGTTTGTGTACACAGGAAATTCTGCGACAGGTTACCTGAGTTTGGATGCGATTGAGTCCTCGGAACCAGAGGATCTGGCCTCGACGAAGCTCCCGCTCAGCATGATCAATTTCATCCATATCCTCAAGCTCTTCCAATTCTTCGTCTGGGATCTCCTCCTTCTGGGTACCGTGGCCTGCTGTTTTCAGGAATTTTAAGCGACTGGTGGGTATTGAGGAGATAACCTGGGGAAATCAGGGCGTGTGTGAGCAAAGCCAACTCAGACTTTCATTTTAATTTCATCTCATTTTATAGAAGTGACACATTTGAAAGGTAATAAAAGACAGTATGGTTCATAACAAGGAGACACTCTGGTTCTGAACCACATGCCTTATAGGGCTTTCACATCTGGGTCAGCCCGGCCCAGCGTTGGTAGGTTAAACGTGTTAACATCTGGGTGATCTGTGGGTTTTCGGTGCTCAGCTGACAGGATGTTTCAGATCTGCCATCATTACACCCATTACCAACTCATTGGTCGGCTGAAGGCCACGTCTACCTACAGAGAGTCTCTTTTGCCCCGTCCACATGACATCACAGAGACATCTGCACTTCCAAGCGCCTCATGATTTTTATCTTGAGAGGCGCTATAGAAAAGATCTTTTCTTCTTCTTCTTCTGAGAAGGCTGTGACATCATGGTGTGAACAAAACCTGGATGGGTGGGGGAGAGCCAACAGTACCAAGAACGGACTGGACCAGACCAGATGTGAAAATAACATTAGTCCTCCAGAAAGGTGCTACATATGTCCACTTTCTGAATTTGAACTCAGTTCTGCCTCATTTGTTTCTGCCATCACACCACAGTGCCCGTGTCCTTCTGAACTGATGAGACTGGATAAAAACATATTGAGCATAGGGCTGGACAACAATTCAATAATGATATATATCTATTGATAGACGTGTGGTGCGATAGGAAAAAATGGGTCGATAAAAACTTTCCTTTCCTTTTTTCATTATAGCCTAGCAGGTAGACTCCCAACCAATCAAAACACAGATCCAGGCACGCTCCGTCTCAAACCTAAACCGACAGCATGTGACTTAATCATCACAGCAAGGAAAGGTAGAGGAAACTGTCCCAAAAGAATATTTTTCTTTTTACAAGTCCTTTGCTAAATTTGTTCCAGGACCTGAGGCCAGTTCTTCAGCTGACAGAGCTGCACATTTGTTCATTTTCTTATTCTTAATTCCTTTTGTAGCGCTGTTCCAGGACTGTGGAAGACTGGCCGTCGCTAACGCTCAGCACTAGCGACGAATCGGTCACAAACTAAACGGCCCTTTATTGAGCCAAAGTTCTTTATTGAAAGTAATTCATTAAGGAATAGCATAGAATGTCCAGGGCTGCACATTAAATATATTTTTAAATGTTTTTCAATGATTATCGATATCGATCTGTATGAATTCTTTTTCTTATCGATATGCTTTTTTCTTTATCATCCAGCCCCAACTGAGAGTTGCTCCAGCTGGGCATCAAAGATCAAATCTCCAACACTTATTAAAAGGATGATTTCTCTAATATAAAGATTTGATTCATACAAATACTCAATTTTTTCTTAAATATAATCTTAGAAATGTAGGTTCTGATCAAATTTGCCATCAACTCTGCACAAATCCTGTCAAGCTCAACACAGGGGGGCAGTGTTGTACCACAACATTATTTGAAGCCAATACAAAAAAGACAAAGGGTAGTTGTTTCACCATACCTGTCCCCATAGAAGTGAGCTAAAGCCTAGAAAAGTGCACCACAACCACTGATCGATGGACAGAGCCACACAGCTGAAAGGGTTCCCTCCAAACTGAACTATGACTATCTGGAGAAAGGAGAGAGAGGAGAACCAGAATTATTCAGGGGAACATTTTACTCTCAACCTAAATTCTTAATATATTATTATAATCTTAAAAAAAAATGAAAAACCTACAAGTTTAACAGAAGAATACTCAGTATAATTTACCTGAATAACAAATGTACCAAAGACTATACTACAGAAGATAAGATTGTTGAAAATGCCCTCAAAGACATTCCTTTCTCCGTGAATCTTGCGGGCATTGATCTCATTGAAAAGCTGCATCAATACAAATGTATTGAAAACAATTGTGTAGTGCTCAGAAGGCGGGGCGTGGAGGGGTGCGTTCCTGCCGTTGTCTATATCAAACAGCCTCTCACCTGCAGGAAAACGTTGAACATAAACATCAGGAAGGGTTTAAACCATTTTAAAACTCAAGTCTCAGAGCAGCAATGGTGTGCACATCTTTAGATATAAAAGAGCTTCCTACCAGCAAAAAGCAGGGTGAAGATGATGATTAGCTGGTACACTCCATGACCCAGAATATTTTTCATCATGGTTCGGGATATAAGAGGCTTGTTGCGGCCATATGGCTTCCTCAGCAGCAGAGATTCTGTGGGGGGTTCTGTGGCCAGAGCTAATGAAGCAAACGTGTCCATAATAAGGTTGACCCATAACATCTGAACCGCTTTCAGCGGAGAGTCCTGGTGGAAGACCGAGAACAGCTTGTCTTTATGTTTCTAATTTTATGCAAATGAAGTTTCTAGGAAAAATATTCAAAATGATCTTAAATGAAAGACGTGGAAAAATTATGATGGCCACAACAACTAAATACAGCAACAAATCAAAGCACAGCAGCTTAATTAAGATAAATCCCATTTCTCCCAAAGGTTTAAAAGCCAAGAAATATTTTGGGATATTTCAGGGTTTCATGAACAAACTTCTCACAGTTTCAGCCATGCTAACCTGTGTGATGCAGGCTCCTGTAAAAGCTACAATGACAGCCACAACATTGACAGTCAGCTGGAACTGAAGGAACTTTGAGATGCTGTCGTAAACGTTTCGGCCCCACATCACTGCTTTGACTATGCTGGAAAAGTTGTCATCAGTAAGAATGATGTCAGATGCTTCTTTGGCCACATCCGTCCCAGCAATCCCCTAAAGATGTGAGAGAAAAGTGAAAACTGTGCTTGTTTACCTTCATGATTGGTCTTATTATATAACCTTTAGCAGAACCTCACCATGGCAAAGCCGACATCAGCTTTCTTCAAAGCAGGACCATCATTTGTTCCATCTCCTGTTACTGCGACTACTTGTCTCTGTTCCGCTACGGTGCTGTCAATAATGCCTAAAGACAAAAGAAAAGTTTCAATTTTTATAGTTTACAGCATCAAAGACTGTAATCAAACAGCTGACTTTTGTATTTCTACTCATATCATTGAAACTACCTTTTACTAAGGTGTGTTTGTCAGTGGGAGATGACCGAGCCAGCACTCGTAATTTGGGCCAGATTTTGTCGATGCGCTCTTGCTCAATCTAAAGACAAGAAAAAAAAAACAAAAACAAAACCCTAATAGAATCCCAACAGTCAATCCTTCAGTCTCTAAAGCAGGGCATTTGTTTTTGCCCACCTCTCCTTTTTCATTGCGTATCCTGCGGTTGAACTCTTTCCCCTCCAGGCAGAGGAAGTCATCTCCGGGTTGTAGGATGCCGCACTTGGTGGCGATGGCGCGAGCTGTGTTAATGTTATCCCCAGTCACCATTCGTACCGTGATCCCAGCATGCTGGCATTTGCTGATGGCATCTGGGACCTGAAAAAATAAAATAAAATAAAATAAAAAAAATCACTGGAGGAAAACACGTGCTATATATTAAACCTACTTGAGAATTTAGAAACCCAGTAAAAGCTTCAGTTTGTATTCAATTAAAATGATTTGCAGGTTTAAATGGCAATTAAATGTCTTGATCGCTGAGAAACGTGTAATATTTGTTCCATTTGAAATACGATCCTAGACACTCTGAGTTGCATCTGATGCACGATTAACGTGAAAATGGCCTTCAGCCTTCATTGCCTGTATTAGCCTATTAGAAAGGAAAACTATTGGGTTAAAAATTTTCAGTCTCTTCCATGTCACAGAGGAAATGAAAGCTCATGGCACTGCACACCTCGGCTTGTGATAACAGGGAGGTTGCGTTGATTTTGCGGCCAGAAGAGAACAGAGCATGTCTCGGCTTACAGAAGCTAACCATTAGCGACTCCAAAACATGGCTGAATATGTTCAGGCTTGCGTTTATGTGGATATAAAACATCAACATTGCTTTTTTTACCCAAGAAAGAAGAGCAAACTAACAAGTGTTGCTGTTAGCCAATCAGAGGAGAAACGTTTGCATGCCATGAACATTAATAAACAAAACTCGTAATTCTGCCATTTTCCACCTCCCACTCCTCCGATAAACTTCTACCCCCTTAAACAGGAGCACCTGATCTCCCCCCATAAAAAAAACAGCTCAAAGCATTTATTCATACCAGAAACCACAAAGTTATTGCAGAAATCAGTGAATGGAACCTTTAAGAAAGCTGAACTTTTGTTTTTTCCCAATTTCCTACAAAAGTTAAAGCATCTTTTCCAGCAAACAAGCTTGGACTGCAGCAGATGTGACACCTGAGCAGCACCAGCGTGACGGCAGCCAAACTAATCAAGGGACAGTCAAGCGTCTACAACAACTTCCAAGTTTTCTGCCATACAAAAGTCTTCTTTGTCTCTCTGAGGGACCACTTCCTCTTAAGCCTCCAAATGGACGCTTCAGTACTTTCAAACTATGATGGCAAGCATTTAAAAATGGCTGTCAATGCATCACCCGATCGTCTTGCTTTACAAAGAAGGCTTAAGTGGACAGTAAAAGTAACCCCCCTCAAAGCTGCCAGCGTGCCTCTCAGGTAGTTCTTATTAGATGATCAGAATGCTTCTGATAAAACCTTTTGACATCAAAGAATAATATCCAGGCAGTGGACCAGGTGCCACCATTTTAGTAGCTTCTTTGAACAATAGCGTAACATTCACAGAATTCCCTTTTGACAAATGATTTTATCTCCTTTTTTGTGAAAAACCCATTGCAGCAATATAAAGGTTTTCCAGGGCCAACTCTCTGAAAACATGTCCAGCCTGTATTTAAGTTAACCACATAATTAGCTCTTCAATTCATCCTATTCTCACGGCCATTTTTGCTTCTGACAATAAGTCACACCAGCAACTATGTTTGCAGACACTAGATAAAGGACAGTCTGACATATTAGCAGTGCATTCGAAGGACATTTTCTCGCAACTTTGAGATCCTAAAAACATTTTAAATGCTTTACATTTGAAATTGTTTGTCAAACTATATGTTCCATGTTTATCGCTGGATATCGTCTTTGTGCCACCCTACCTCTGGCCTAACGGGGTCCTCAATGCCCACCACACAGATGCAGGTTAATCCAGTCAGGATGTCATTTTCATTGTCCCAGTCAGGTTCACCATCAGACACGGGAAAATCTCTGTAAGCAAGGCAGATGGTCCTCAGGCCCTCAGAGGCCATGGGCTCAATCACTTTTTTGACCATATCGTCTCTATCCCGTGGGCGGAACACCTTTGGCTCACCATTAGCTATCAGGATTTTACAGCACCTAAGAAGAGTGAGAGGCATAATGAAAATGAACATTTATAAGCAGGCAAGAAGTGACCAATTTCAAAATTTCAAAGAAGAAAGCACTTCAGGGACTGATGAATAAACTGATAGCAAACAATTCAAAGTGTAAGTAAAAAATAAATAAATAGGAAGGTGAGGGAAATGAAGGCACAGCATTGAATGGTATGCTGCAATAAGTAGTAACATTAAGCCCTCTGTGGTTTAAAAAGAAGCCTGCTTGCCTAAGAGGCTTACAGAGCTGTTACAGGCTCATTTTCTCGACGCCTGTTTTTAAGTCTCAACGTAAGGGGCTTGGGTGGGATGCACTTGAACTTCTTAGCTGCTTAAGCTATTACACATATCGCTTACTGCAAAAGCTGGCCAACGGGAGAAAGTGAAAGAAAAAGAACGAACAATGACCAAAAAGGTGAAAACTTACTTTTTTAAGAGAATTTCTGAGGCTCCTTTGCTAAACATACGGTAGCTGCCATCAGCCATCTTCAACACAGTGCTCATAGATTTGCGTACAGAGTTGAAGGTGTAGACTTTGTATAGTTTCTCCTCGGGGACTTCGTTGCGGATAGCCTGGTAGTCACGTTTCAAGTCAATAGCGAAGCCAAGCAAGGCACATTCGGTTTTGTTACCCACTTGACTAGGCAGACCCCCTTCCTTCTCTGGAGGCTGATGATAAATAAAGCAAAACAAAAACAACATGGTAAGTATTCAAAACAGCCTTTAACTGTATATTTCACAAGCACACAACTGCTTTGCATGCCTACCATGATCTTGGTAGTGTAGGCGCAGTTAACTGCAATGCCCAGAATCAGCATGTCCAAAGAGGAGGAGGGGATGCTTTCTGGTTCAGGAACCTTCTTATAATGCTTCTCACCAATGTAGGCTTGTACCACAGTCATGCGGTTCATGGTGAGAGTACCAGTTTTGTCGGAGCAGATAGCTGTAGCATTTCCCATGGTTTCACAGGCATCCAAATGACGAACAAGGTTGTTATCGTTCATCATTTTCTGCAGAAAGAAAAAAGAACAGGCTGTTTTGATCGGATGATGAATGAAATGGTTTATTTTCTGAATTCAAGATGGTTTAAAATGTCAGTTGGGGGAACAAATGAACAGAGAGGATCATTTGGTTTAAGGGTATCAGTTTGTGTAACAGCCTGGTCTGCTGGTTTTAATAAGCATAAGTGTAAGCCGGTCAGGCATGGCACATGTCACTTGGCAGGCTGAACAGACCTTACCTTGACAGAATACGCCAAGGAGATTGTTACAGCTAGCGGCAAGCCCTCGGGAACAGCCACCACAAGAACTGTGACGCCAATGATGAAGAATTTCACAAAGAACTGAATGTAAACAGGTGTGCACTCTTTGATCCAGGGCAGATTCTGGACCCAAAAGGTGTCTATTACAAACCGGACCACCAGGATAATTACGGTGATGGCAGACGCGACCAATCCTGCGAAAATTCAGACACAAGGAAAAACAAATGTTGATAATAATTTAAATGTCAAATCTATGTTCTAAAGAAAACAATGTTTCTAATCAGGTTCCTTTGTTAAACAGAAAACTACAGAATTTAAGGATTTATGAAGAAACAATTTTTGAACATAGTGCCTCAAGATAAAAATCACAAGGCGCTTCAAGAACATAACATACAAAAATATTTTTTAAAATGTGTATGAATATATGTGTTTTAAAAAAACAAAAAGGGGAAAATAAAAAAATAATAGCATTTCTAATTATTACAAATATGAATATCTACTGCACAACCAGTAGGTACAGCGAGAGTGGTCTACAGAAATGACTCAAGCCAGAAACAAGCAGATTTGTCCGACTAACCTGCTTTTCCTATCTGCACCGCTAGTTTGGTCAGTTTGCCTTGAAGAACAGACTTTTCTTTCTTTGGCAGGTTGGCTTTCTTCTTCTCCTCTGCCTCAGCTCCCTCGTCACTGTTCAGAGGCTGCATTTCCATTGCAGCACCATCCTGTGCTTTAGCTGCAGAAACGAGAAAATGGTAAAAATCATTAAAATACAGCTAATGTACAAAAACATTATATTTTATGATTTTTGCAAAAAATATGAAAAGCACTTATTACAAGGCCTTGTATTATAGTATAAAAGTCTAGACCTACTTTACATACCCAGTTGAGACCCAGTTTTGCTTTTATTTAGACAAAATACAATAAATTAAATATAAAAATTGACAAAAAACAATATGAATGTGACTACAATGCTTGTGTTACTAAAGACCAAGTTAGCTCATTTTGCCAATTAATCTGTGGTCTCTAGTATAAATGAATGCCTTGTTAGTCTCTGCAGGGAAAAAAGCTCTTGCAATCCTGTTTTGGGAAGTAGAAGATCCATCCTCTGCGTTTGATACCGTAGATCTTAACATCTTCATTTCAGAGGTACTGCTTTGGAGTGGAACAAATCTTTCAATTCAATTCAAGTTTATCTATATAGCGCCAAATCACAAGAGTCATCTCAAGGCACTTCACCAAGTAAACATTCCAATACAGGTCAGTTCATTAAACCGATCAGTAAAAAGCTTCAATTCAATTAAATTCAAATTCAATTCAAAAATACTTTATTAATCCCAGAGGGAAATTCAATTGTTTCAGTACACACAATTCTAAGATCAGACCCTCCACAGAGAGGATAGCTTTGCAAAAAAACACCACAGACAGATATGCACACAGACTTCAGACATTACACAACATAAGTGTCCGTCTTTATTGCAACCTCATACTCCACCTAGGTCATTACAACCTGAGTGCTTTCAACTTCTGGCAACTATAAGGACACGATTAGTGCACAGACAGCAGTGGCTTTGAGCCTGTGGAACCTGTGTCCCCTTTTTATTAGGCAAGCCTCATCAGTTGCTCATTTTAAGATCCTTTAAAAGACTCATTTATATTCACTAGCTTTTACTTCTGGTTGATTTTTTATTTCAACTTTTAAAAGTTTTTTTTACTATTGTATTGTTCTTATTTTGGTGTTTGTGTGCAGTACTTTGTTCAATGCAAAATGTGTAAATCCCCTATATGAATAAAGTTGAATTGTGCAGAGGAGAGGGGAGGAGAGCTGAAAAATGCAGGATTTTGAGTCTTATTATTTCCTGATAGTCAGACCTCTTGGTTCTGACTAGCTAACAGTAATACGACTCTACCACAGACTCTGCTTTGCAACGTTGGTGTTTTATCTTCACAAATAACTCAAGCCTGAAAGAGTTGCTGATGCTAACAGCTAGCTTCTACTAGCAGAGATGTGCACTACCATCTCCTGGAAGTTAAATCAACCGCAAGATGGATGAGACCATGAATGCTAATTTACAGAATGATGTAGATCTATGTGACCTTTCCTGACCAGAGCTTATCCCTGTCTATTGTTTTAACGGCGGCTGATGAAGAAAATAGAGATAGCAGACTGTTTTCATGTTCAGCCTGCAACTGAAAGTCGAAGTGACTAATCATATTTCAAAGATAAGTAAAAATGGTTCCTCAGTGAACTTAGTGTTTGTCTAAAACAAAAGCCTGGTTGATGTATTTTCTTAACTGTCTACCTCATTTGACTAGCATCCCATCACAGCTATAATGCTGCAGAAAATGCAACAAAACGTTCTAAATTCTACGCTTATAAAATTTTTTTTTTAAATTTAAACAAAAGAAGATTTCAGATGTTCACATGCTCTGTTGCTTTCTACATTTCCTTGAAACTTGATTTGCTAATCTGTTTTCTCTAAGTACAAAGAAATTAGCTAAAGCTTAGGAAACACGATTAGCATACACCCGGCTAGCAATTTAAAGAGCAGGTGAAGGAGCCACTAGAAATTGACAGACATGCTGAAGAGACACATCCTATTTGACAACCACTAGAGCACTTGCTGCCGCTTGAATCCAAAATACATTTATTTTATCTCTCCCCCAACATCTTTCAAGACCCTGCTCCCTCAGCAGCAGATGTAATGAGAATTTATTACCCTCCTCTTTCCAGGTAACCTTGAACACAAAATATGGAATCATTGCTCTGAGGGTTTTCCCTGTGTTGTTATAGTTTGCCAGTAAATAAAAATATGATAGTAAATTTAACTGACGCTTGTCAAATAATGAGCAGTGAAAATATCAGCCAATAGTTTCAATTCCTAAAACAAATCACCTCAGGTGTTTATATGCACAAAAGATTCACAACTGCAGATTATTATTGTGACATATTTTGGTGTTTTGTGCAACTGATGGAGTCTTCACAACTCCTGTCCCTAAAGGCAAATGGCTCCATTCCTGTCCTATCGCTATTAGACTTGCATGGTATTGTGTGGATGCATTCAAAAGGAGCACTGGGCTGCTGAAACTGCTGTGGACTGTGGATTCCTTTGTACTCACACAGTTGCTGTAATCTCAGTCTAGAGGATTACTGTTGATTCCAGGCAGGCAGAGGGAATCTGTGTACCAGGGACCAACGCCAGGGTTGTGGTCACAGACCGAACCACCACTGATCATAAAATCCCAGCTACAAGTCTGGTTAGCTAGCTGAATTGGCACTAAACAGCCTCATTAACGTCAGCATCATTCTAAAGCAGCACCTGTGCAGCTCTAACAGCCTGATGAGGAATAGTTTAGTTTGGGACATCAACATAAAATCAAATCACAGCAACCTGAGAGCGACTCAAAGAGAGATGGGTGGGAAAGCAGATGTTCTGGCCTCAAAATTGTTGCAGGGCTTTAATCTTCTCATCACTAATCGCTATAACTGGATTCAGTAGCACCTGCTGCTCAAAGCACAATGTGCCAGGCAAGGACGAGAAAAGAGGAGAGGGACAGGAGGGCCAGACAGTAACACCGGACAGCCAAGAACAACCTGTCCCAAGTCTAAGCTGACACACGGTGATGGAAGCACTGATACAATCAAATCTACATGTAACTCACCTTTTTTACGATTTTCCACAGATCCATCCTGCTTCTTGTCTATAAAAATATAATAACAAATAGTTATTAGGAAAACATATTGACAGTGAGTGTAAAAAGAAAAACTTGATTTAAACGACACTTGTGAAAGTCTCTGTGTTATATTAGTCATCCCTTTTACTTCATAGAAAGTGGCAACAACTAATCATAATATGTACATAACACTGGTACTAGGGCTGCAGCTATTGAACATATTTGCATTAGAATATTCTTTAAAATCCTCTGTCCATTAATCGGATATTCTATTCACTTTCAAGTGAAACGAGACTGTGGTCTGCTACTAAAAATATTTAAATAAAGTAAATAAATTATAAAAGGCTCAATAATATGTATTAAATTGGTTTTGTCTAGTTCCCTCTGTCAGGAGGATTTATAGTTAATATTTTATGGAAAATAATTGACCTGCATTTCAGTAACATTTTAGGTTTGTGTTGTTATCACTCATCTTAGTCCAATTAACATATCTAAACATATCCAAATATGATCGGTAGAATTTCATGTATTTCATTAACATGCTCAGTAGCAAGTTATTGGAAATGCTAATATTTAATTTCTATTGCTAACTATGTAAATATTTATTGTATTATCTAATGGTTAACAACATTCCAGTATAAATTATATTCAAAGATAGAAGCATTTGTGAATTACATACTACAACAGCTGGCCATACAGATGCAGCGGCATGGAGCAGCAGACTTGTAGCAACAATCTGAATCCAGGTATCCGCTGCAGTCATGCCGCAGACTGCTACAAAAAGGGGTGGTGGCAATTTTTCTTCCACTTACAGTATAGTTATTCTCAACCACCATGTTTTTTTTCTGAACCTCACTTGATCATGAATGTGCTACCCACTAGCATTAGCATTAGCCAATCTGCCTGTAGTTTAACCCTTGATTCCAAATTTTGGAGCATTTCTGCATTTCACAATGGTTTGTGTCTCTGCTGGTTTCTGTACTTTCCTAAAAGGCAGCTACATTACCACATTGTGCGCCAGTAAAATGTGTTCAGACTGTGGTGTGCATTTCTAATGAAGCTTCGAATCAGTAAAAAAAATTATGCAAGGAATGTAATCAATTGAACCATTCGAAGATTCTTACAGCCCTAATTGGTAAATGTGGTTTTATGTCTGTTACTTTTCTGATGTTGCTGCAAAGAGATGCAAAAATTCGAGGCTCAAGTGTCCCAGTAAAAACAAACAATCAAAAGCAAACTCTGCTGAAGCTTTCTGATTTAAAAAGGGGATTTCTAACAATTATGGACTCTAAAGTCACAACACAAGTCAATAAGACCTTAACCGTGTCTTCCAATTGATCTGTTGCCAATCAAAATTGGCCGATCTCTGTGAAAAACTCACAATCGGCTAATTCCGATCAACGCTTTTCAGTGCCAATTGCTTGTCAATGCTTATTCTTTGCAGCCTGCAGAGACGCTTACCCCGGCTTTCCACAGGAGCCGTCAGCAGCACGTTACTGCAGCAGCACGTCTTGCTCGCGTAAGCTGCTGCTTGGCCCTTCCCACGAGACGCGAAGCAGCAGGGGAGCAGCTGTCACCGACCGAGCACGAAGTCACACGAGTGACTTTGTCAGTAAACACAACAACAAGCAGGAGAAAACTACAACATGGCTCCAAAATGTTTGTGTTTTATGTTCTGTCCGTTTTATAATCGCCAATACGGACCTGAAAAACAAAGGAGACCCGCTAGCTAGGTGATAACTTCTCACGGGGCCGCACATTTAGTAACTGTTTTTAAAAGTAAAGCAACCGGAAGGAAGTACGTTTCTTTATTCTGAAAATCTCGGGAGCTTCTCTCCATTTCCGCGTCCGACCTCCTGTCTTTCCGTCCCCAAAAATGTCGAACTTGACCCGTTTCAGAGGCGTCGCGCGTAGAAAATAGAACCGGCGCGTAAAGGCCTCGACATGCTGCTCCCGAGACGCGGCCGACTCGCGCTGCTGACGGCTGCTGACGGCTCCGGTGGAAAAGGTTCTGTTGACCACAGTGGTTCCTATCAGCAGCTATGACGTGCTGCTGCAGTAACGTGCTGCTGACGGCTCCTGTGGAAAGCTGGGGTTAGTAGTGTGGTGCAAGTAGGATGCTTAAAAGTTATGGTCAGAAACAAACACACTGACTGTGCCATGAGTCTTTTTGTATTTTTTTCTCTTGAAAATGTAAGTAAAAACATGTTTTGTCTAAATTAAGTAAATTTCATGGTTCCTTTTGTCCCAGATCATGTATTCAGCAGCACACATAACGATATAGAAAGATTTATAGCCAATCCATGTGATCTGTATTGGTGATCAGCAGCAAAAATCCTGATCAGTTTTTTTTTGTTCCACTAAAAAAAGTGTTTAATAGAATTTGACACTTTGCACATTGTTCCAAGTGACAGGTCTTAAAAGCTTATGGTAAACACTAAAACCACATTTCCATGCCAATATGTCTGCAATCTGCATCCAATTAACTGGGAGAAGATACCTACGAAGCTGTCCAGCAACCTCGTACGTTAAAACCAAGGATTTTCTGAGTGAATTATTCATACAAGCCAGAACAAACAGCTGAAAGCAGTTTTAAAGGTTAATCAGTAGAGCAGTAAACTAACTTTTTCTCTGCTTTTTCTTCTCCTCTTTCTCCTTTTTCTTTTCTTCTTCGTCGTCATCATCATCTTCGCCACTTCCGAGTAAAGTGAAAATAATTCCAGTTTGTGAGTTGACACCCACAGCAGTGACCAGCATTTTTCCTGAGCCTTCCATTACATGAGTGCCTTTGAAAAGGAAGAAGACAATTAAATAAAATTTTTATTTTTATTTCTATTCATAAATAACTATCTTTAGCCACCAAGACTAATCTCACCCCAATTACATATTAATAAATAAATATTTTCAAACCTTGTTAAACCTTTATCTTTTTAGATGCCCGTGTTGAATCAGATTCTTTTGTTCAGAAATGCTTTCAACCTGCATGTTAACTTACACATTAATGGAGAATAGAGCAGGTTCTTGAATGGAGGCAATAAAAAAAAATGGCCCAGCAAAATGAGGAGATGCAGTCACTAATGCATACGCCCTCAAAGCCTTTAATCAACAGTCTTTAATCAAAGGCCCATTTTCATTTTTGGTGTTTTGATGCAATTCTGAGAGCCTACAACGCTGCCATAGCACCTGCACTCTATTCCACTTCAGAAAAATCTTCACAATCGACAGGAGAAAAACGGCCAGTAACAGAAACTAAAATCACTGAGTGTGTGTGTGAGAGTGAGAGAGAGAAAGAGAGAAAGAGAGAGAGAGAATTGAAAGTATTTAAATTGCACCGATAGAGGGAAAGACACCGTAAGGGAAACATACAGAAGAAAAAAAACAGAGTGAGTGAGTGAGACAGAGAGCTAACTGAAAGTATTTAAATGAACACAGTACCTGTGTTCATTTAAATGTGATTTTCTTATTTTAGTGAAAATAGCTACAGAAATCCACAGATGGAGAGTTTTATAAACACCCACACATGAGCAGAAGACCTCGGTCTTCTAGGTGCGTCAAAAGGGAGAAAGATGCACTAAACAAAGAGCCTTTTTCAAAACGGATGTAAGGGTAAGAGTTGATAAAAAATAATGCTACCTTGGAGCACAAGCACTTTAAAAAGCTTTCTACACAAGAGATGTCACCAAATCACATAACAGAGTCTCAGTAGCAAAATAGATTTATCATGGATTTGATTACAGCATATATTTACTGTGCAATCACTTATTACCGTAATTTCCGGAGTATAAGTCGCACCAGCCATAAAATGTGTAATGAAGAATATATATATATATATATATATATATATATATATATATATATATATATATATATATATATATATATATATATATATATATATATATATATATATATATATGTCGCACTGGACTATAAGTCGCATTTTGGGTGGGAAATTTTATTATTTTTCTTAAAAAATCTGAGACCAAGCATTTCACATTGCAAGACAAGTACCGGTAACAATAAGAGAATAAACAACCAGGGCGCAGCAGCGCACCACAGTCTCAAGCAGAGAATGGCGGCGTTTCAATCCCTCCCAGTGAGCGGGAAGAGCTCATTCCTGGGCCGGAGACGGCCCGCGGCACCCCGCCACAGGCTGCAGCGGGTGATGGCGGTGTTTGAAACCCTCCCTGCGGGACAGGGGAGCTCATTCCTGGGTTGGAGTCACCCAGCCCGCAGCAGCGCGCCACGGTCTCCAGCAGGTGATGGCGGGGCAGAGAAGCTTATTCCTGGTCCGGAGCCGGTCCGCAGCAGCGCAGTATACATAATTTGGTATACAAGTCACTTTGGTGTGCAAGTTGCAGGACCAGCCAGACTATGAAAAAAAGTGTGACTTATTGTCCGGAAAATACGGTATTTAGTCAGCGCTGTATCACTTTTGGCTAAAATAAGAATGGACAGAAAGGATTTTCTAGCACACATAAAAAATTTAGCAATGCAGTTCAGGTTTGGACACAGCAACGGAAATCTCATATTCCATAAACAGCTCACAGTGATTAGTTTCTGTCAGACTCGGTGCGTTAACATGCACATCTAAGTGGATCTAAATCGATCCAAGGTAATAAACTGCAAGCCTTTACCCTAGTTTATATTCACGTTATGAAACCAGACTCGAATGAAATGCATTCCACTCCACAACAGTAGGTGGCGACATGCGCTCTTTTCTCCAGTTAGCCTATAGCAGCATTTCTCAATCACGAGAGGCCGCAACCTTCGCACCCTTGGAGATACCCGACGGAGAATACAAAACAGACGCCAGATACAACACACATTTATCCACACCACTGGCCTATAGGAACACACATAGTAAACAAACGCTAGCAAGAATGAAGCAGACAGGGTTAAAACAAGATATGCATAATGGCCGAAGGAATGGGCGATAAGAACAAAGTTGCAGTACAGCTTGTTTGGTATACTTTAGGATAGTGATACACGTGTTACATTGTTAAGGAACAGCAGTAGCTCAGGAGGTACGGTGGGTTGTACAGTAATCGGGAGATTGCAGGTTCGATACCTGCTCCGATATCAGAAAACCGCTTCCGTGGTCTAGTCACTTCTGGATTGCAAGCATCCAACAGCTTCTATTTGGCGGACCGATTTACATGCAGAATGTATTTGGATTGCTACCATATTAGGTACATACACGAAAATGGGTCAAGGGTGAAAAAGGAGAGACCTCACCTCCAAAATGACCCGACAAACTTTAAGCCCAAAACGGGTTCGCCAGAAACAACATAGCCCTCATTTTAGCGTTTCTTTACCACCATGGATGAATGATAATGTTTCCACTGCATTTCATTTATGGTGCATCCTCATCTCCTCACATTGTGCGGCCAGTCTCTTTGTCTCTCTGCTGTCCTAGTGCGACTCATCTCGCTCAAATTATTAATGGATTCAATCCAACCTGTCGGGTTTACTCGACAGGTTGCATTAGTGCGGGTCACGCGTCACATTCTGACAGATTTATTCTTATTTTTATTATTTTTTTTTATTTCTACCATTTCCCCTCCAGTGGATAATACTGAAACCGGAGGGTATATTTTTATTGGTGGGTTAAACCACCAAATAATTCCCGAGCACAACCACAACTGCAGCTCACCACGGGGATGGGTCAAATGTGGAGATGAATTTCACTAGTGTGTGATAACTAATGGGAGTTGAACTTTATTACCGGGGTGCTTCAGCTCGATTAGAACTAGTTCACCTTCAGCCAGGCTAATGTGTTTACATGCATTTAAAAAAATACGACGCAAGTCCCTACACCTAACCCAATCACATCACTCACTGAATTATGGAAAGTTTAGTCAGTTAAACTGACGGGTTTAACAATTTTTTTTTAAATATAATGTGGCAATAAAAAAATAGACCTTATAAACAACAACCAAGCATTATTTTAACTACATTCTAACCAATACATTATTAACCTATAGCTATTTTTTTACTTGCATCATAGGCCATTAAAATCTTTAAAATGAGTTAATACTTCTTTCTCCTCTGTGTGAATGCATGATGATAAATGATAAAAATTAGTAACACTGAACAAAAATGTCACTGTAATTTAGTTTTAATAAAGGCTGAACCTGAATAAAGCATGTCTTTTGAAATGGTGACTACTATATTGACTCATCGAGCACTGCAGAGGTTTGGTTCAAAACACTCACGATCACTCTATAAAAAAAACGTTATAAAGTCTAAAACCACAATCCCAAAGTGTCTTTTTAAAACAATAAACTGTCATATAGCTAACATTTATGTTGGAGTATTGTTTAGAAAAGATTGTCTGAAAAACAACGATTTGAGACTGAATTACCTGATAACAGCATGGGATCTTTTTCTAGTGTTTTCTTGACATGATCGGATTCGCCTGTGAGCGAGCTCTCATCAATCTTTAGATCGTTGCCTTGTAAAAGGATCCCATCAGCAGGTAAGAGGTCACCTAAAACAAGCAGGATTCAAATAATCAGCATTTTTAGTGATTGTTCTTCCAACTCTTACTTACTTTGTAAAGATCATCATAAGAGATTCTGACCCTTTACCACAAAATAAAGGTTTTACTTTATTGCAGAAAGACGATCTTCTTACCGTACTTTATTTGTGCAACATCGCCAACCACAATCTCAGCAACAGGAATTTGAATAACTTGTCCTCCACGAACAACAGTAAATTTCTGTTCCTGCTCGATGCGGTTCTGGAGGCCCCTAAACTGTTTCTCTTTACTCCAGTCATTGAATGCCGTCACCAGTACGACACAAATAACTGACAGAAGAATGGCAGCACCCTCGATCCAGCCTGCTTCTGACTCATTTTCATCCTCTACGCCACCAGCAGCCTTTCCACAGTCTGCAAAGAGATAGGGGTGCGTATGGGCTGAAAAAACACTGACTAATAGCTCAAAAGTTACTGATTTATTTCCCAACATAATAAAACACAGTGGCAACAGAAAAGGTCCATAGCTACAGCTGGGAAAAACACAGATTTGTTGAATTTGTGGTTCAGAATAATCAACAAAACAAATTAGAATAAAAATGTTCCTTACGTTCTCTTTGGGCATCTGGTGGATGATAAAAAGAAAGGCCTAGTGAAATTACAGCAGCCACTTCGAGAATAATTAGCGTGACATCTTGTAATGCTTCCCACACCAATTGTAAGAAAGTTTTGGGCTTTTTGGGTGGGATCAAATTTTGCCCAAACACTGTTTTCCGCTTCTCAATGTCAGCTGGTTGTCCACTTAGACCTGCGAGAAAGAGAGAGGGGTGGGTGTTATATTTAATCTTTAAAAAACACAGAAACAAATCAACTTTTAAAACATCATTTGAACTCAGAGGGAGGAATTACTGCTGTTAGTGATTTTTCAATGAAATGACCAAGTGAATAAAGGTCGAATCATATTTTTGACTCACAGGTGCTTTTATGCACACTGAGGTCCCATTAAGAGTCTCAACCTCTGACATATTAAATGTCTGGTTCTCACAAGAACATCCATCCATGTGGGCCCAACGCCTAATGCAGCAACTCATTTAAATGCCTCCGCATTCAAAGCACAATTATATATTCAAAAGAGGCTCCACACATTCATGATGACAGACTTTTAGTCCTATTCATGCTGACTATGTGTGGAAGTGTGTGTGTGTGTGGTGGGGGGCACTGGAATCATGAGAGGAGTGAACATGATGGCCACTGACAGGTCGAGGGGAGTAGGCTGAGGGTGACTGTGCACATGACTAAGACCATGAAGAGAGGAGGGAGCTGAATAACGGCTTACGGTATAACTGGCAGACAGAAGGATGGACAGACACACAGACTAAGAGGGTAACTTAAAATAAATAATTAAAGCATAGCTAATTAACATCTTAATAAAATCAATAAACAGCCTTACAACCATCTAGAAAATAGCCTAATCCAGCAGATACAGCTATCTCCTGTACCAGAATAGGAAGAACAGGTTTTGAATCTTATATTTGCTTTTGATGACAGAAGGAATCATGCAAATAACTTGATTTCTTTTTTTTTAAGAACAACAAGGATCAGCCTCTGTTGGGATCATTTTAAAGGACAATCAACTCTACTAGAGCCCTAGTAGCTGCTAAAAATGGGTGGCCAAAATTTTGGTGGTCTTTAATTACAAGCAAAACCAGTCCAACAATGACTGGCAGCACATTAATAGTAGCTAATGATTAAATACTAATCCTACAAATTCAAATAATACTTTAGGAGCAATATTGCTCACAAACATCACAATAATATATTTTCTAACTGTTATGGTTGTCACTCTGTGCACTGATTCATTATTCCTTCGGTTCTAAAGCTAAATAACAATCAAATTGACATGGTTGTGGAAGGGTCACACTATAACAATAAAGTGATGTGAAAAATGAATACAGTGTGTCCTCTGTTAAGAGCTACATCGAACACATCCTAACCACCACAAATGTCTCCATCATGCATCTTCAATCCAGATGGTGTCTATATTATATAAGGAGAATTGGACAGTTTTAAAAATGAAAGATTTTTTTGGGTTACATCTTGTAAAGCTTCAACCATTTACACACATTTCTAGAAATGTAAAGTGACTAACCAATTTAAACAAGCTGCTATATAAAGCTACCTTCAACAAGGGTGCACCACCTCGCTTCTGATTCCATTCATAACTATGGCAGAAGAACAAGTTTTACATGCCATTAATTTGCATTCTGTTGAAGCTAAAACAAGTTGCAACTTTACACACCCAATGAGAGAACCATTTTTTTCTCTTGAAACTGAGTAAAAGTAATTACATATTTTTTGAAGGTTTCAGTCTGATTCTTGCCAGCAGACTTGCAATAAAACAGATGCAGCTTGAAGTGGGTGTAGTCTCTGAGCAATCTTAAACTGTCAGAACTCCTCTTATCCTGAGGACACTGTGAACCTACACCTTATTAGCAGCTGCTGAAGTCCTCCTCGTTCACGTGAGTAAATGTAAGGTCAGGTCTTTCCTCTGATAGCTTGACAGACTAACATGTAAGATTTTTATTAGTTAAATGTTTAATTGCCACAGCTAAATACTGATTTTCAAAGGATGTTAGAATAGGAATGACTCATTAGCACATTAAAAACAGCTGACTTTTATCCAGCAAAGCTGCCTGTTGCTGCTCTACAGCTATCTCTCATCATCTCCTTTAATTCTGTTAGCCTCTAATGAAACCATGCTGACAGCTAATACCGCATTTAATTTTACACCACATTTTCCCCCTTTGTATTGGAGCAATAAATACAAGTGACAGGGCAATCGAGGTGTCATTTCTCCATTAAATAAACAAACAGAAAACTGGTTGGCCTTGCCCATCATTTTAACAGCTGATCACTAACTATTTCTTTTGGATGCTTGTTTCCAGCCCACCTAATTAAAGGTCAAGGTAAACCTGGACTCTTAGCATGTCACAATGAAATTACATAAACCTGTTTTTATAGTTTTCATATTAATGCATGTAAAAGGCTTGTGCAATGACACGATACATTCCCTGAAAAAAGAATGAGTTGTTACAATAAACAATTTATTTAATCCATAAGCTGCAATTTGTTTAGCACCAGGTTGTTGGTGACACGGTTTCCATCTGATATTTCTTCCACTCCAGAGTAATAAAGGTGAACTGGCACTGTGCCACAATGTGCATATAAATAAGATGGCATCACAGCTGAGCAACAGTAAAACTGGTCAGAGCAGTGTTACATTGCACCAAACATAAAACACATGTTCTGTGAATGCCGCTCTTTAAATTTCTGATGCGAGTCTAATGACAGACTCTGGCTCTAAACCAGAACCCAACCATACCCACCATCAACATTCCGCATGAAAGAAGAAAATGTGTAAACCTAGGTCTGCTAAAAAAATTTAAATTACATTTTAAGTCAGCAGGAAACTAACCTGAAGCTCACTTTGCTGCTGCAGCTGACAGTGTGCTGTTTCCACAGCTGATTGAAGCTGCACGAATGACTGAGTTTGAATGTTGTGTTTGCAAACAAGACGTGCTCCCACTGTACAGCTTACAAGCTATAGAGGCCTCGGAGTGACTGTAGAGCACTTTCTGGTTTAATTGCTTTAAGATGCTGACTAACACTTTATGTACATTATGAGGAGAATACAACACACGTCAGATGAGTTAAATCAGCAAAACCGCCCTGTATCTTAAATCTTTGTTAAAACACAACAGAACTAAGCTGAAAATACTATTAAATCCTCTAAATGTGACAGGCTTGTGGATTTTTGGATCTTTTAATTTAAAAAAAGATTCAGAAACTATAAGTAAATATGTAAAATACTGACCATCAAGTCTCAATTATTGTTCAAAATTTTAAACTAAAAACTACCCAAACATTTTGCACAACTAAGCGACTAAGATGACAAAAAAATAAATACATTTTTAAAAATTGTCAAAATCTGGGTATTATTACAGACACCTTATCTGCTCATATCATCCTGAGCAATATTCAGAAGCAAGCTCTGACCACATGTTCTATCCACTCACAGGCTAAGGTTCTACGCATTTATTCTTTTGAATTCAGGATTGATAAGTTGTGTCAACAGCTGAGTAAACTATTATTCAGCAAACACTCAAATTAACAGAGGGTTTGAGTCTGCAGTGATGGATAGAAAGAACCTGCTTTGATCACATATGGACACAAATAAACCTGTCCATTTGACCAAAATGAAGTAGCAAAAAGCTAAGAAAAAATCATGCAAAAGGAGAAATGGAGGAATATTGTTAACATTGATCTGGTGTTTCATTGCTCATTTGAAAAATATAATTATGCAAATGTACTTTAAGTCATGTTTTGACAACAGTGTAAATGACTGTCAACACCATGGTTTCATTCCACTACACAGATATTTTACTGGTAACATGACGAAATGTGTTCCAAGTATGCACCATGTTCCAATTACCAGCATGTCATCTCTAAACTGATGTAATCTTGATTACACCACAAATGGAATTTTCCTATGTGTGACCAAGCCCTGATAAAAAAAAATAATTTTAAAAATGCCACAAACCACTGCACCTTTAACTCTAAATAACCAATACAATTTTTTTTACTGTGAACCATGTTAGCTTTCAGATCAGCCTGATAATGATATATTTGATCACATAACAACTCAGAAAAGGGAACAAGTGACAGGAGAAAATCTGAAGCTTGACTCGTGGAAAAAGTATGCACTCAGAGGAAGTAAACCTGTTTACACCGGGCCAGCTGGCAGAGCAACAAGAGTCAACAAGCTTTGAATTCAACTTGACACTGTGCTGTTTGCCGAAGTTGAGTTTACAGAGACCTGTTTGAAAGATTTTAGATTTGCATTTTGTCACAACCTTCTAATGTCTTTGCAGAAATGTTTGATGACTGTGACAAGATTTAATGTAGGGCTGCAACAACGAATCGATAAATTCGATGAAAATCGATTACTAAAAGCGTTGGCAACGAAATGCGTCATCGATTCGTTGTGTTGCGCAACTCTTCCAAAAGCCCCCTCCCCTCCCGCCCTCTGTTGCGCGCAGACCGGTGGAGAGCCGGCAGGTGTTTGTAAGAGGAACATGGCAGAAGCAGTGAGGCCCCAAAAAAGTAAAAACTTCTAAAGTTTGGGAGCATTTTCAGTTAAATCAGGCGAAGACATGCAACGTTTGTAGGTCAGACTTAGCATGGCACGGGGATACTATGGTGATGATGCAGCGTCTTAAACGCAAGCATGTCAGAATCATCAGCGAGGAAGGAGAGAGCTCGGTGTCCGGGTAAGTTAAAAACTTTTCAAAAGTGATTCACCCAAGCCCCGGATTATTACACACGCTAGACATGCCCTAAGCTCGTAAAAAAGTCTATAAAATTGTAAGCGCGACGCTATTAGATAGGCGGGGGGGGGGGGGGGGGGGGGGGGGGGGGGGGACTCGCGCCGCTGCGAACCGGTTCCGCCGTCACATTCCCGCAGAAACTGGTTGTTCACACCGGGGCCAGACTACTAGCGTGTGGCTTTACAACCACAGTGTCCTCAGAAGCGAAAACGCTTTTAAAAGGGAGGGAGGAGTCCTAACTGTTGCTGCAGGCGTGTTGTGTGTGAGTGCAGTTATATACTGGTTAATATATTTTTGGGTTCAGTTGCTTTCATGTGGCCTAATGTGAGTCTATTTGGGATCATTGGAATGATCAGCAGCATTTCTTGATGTGACTTTATGGCAGTTGCCCAGGGCATCATCGCAAGGAGGATGGCATTCA